TTTTTTTTTTGTAAGGTAGGCCTGCAATAAGCTTCCGGTAGCAACTAAAGCATAACTCAGAAATTTCACTGAAAGGTGAAGAACGCTGATGAGCAAAAATTATCTGTACATTGTCAAAGACCATGCTTTGCCAAAGGATGCATCCACATAAGTACAGAGAACGAGGGGAAAAAATAGCTTGATCATTCTTTTCCTTCAAAGGGTTATTTGCTTTCAATAATCACAAGAGGAAAATTAAACCAAAATACTACTCTAACTAAAACACAAAACCCTTCCACATAACATCATGAAGAGTTATTTAGCTCGAATAACCCATATAAAATAGGAGCTAGTCAGATTTTAATAAATGGAAAGACCTCAGAGAGAAGAAAAGAAAAAGGAAAAAAGAAAGCCACAATTCTAAAATGCATCGTTTGCAGGAATCAAAAGCAGCACGACTAACTTCTACCAACTTCAACTCTAGCTTCAGACAGGTCAGCAGGCAAACCTGCACTTACCCAATAATATACAAAAAAAAAAAAATGTTGTGAAACTTCCAAACAGACAAGGCCAATCAGAAAACCACCCAACACTTGCACTGCTGCCCCACTATAACAAAACCGTCTGGTTGATACTGAAGAACTAAAAAAGCGAAAATTCCTAGGTTTTAAAGAAAAAAGCTCATCTAATACAACTTTCCTTACCCATTTGACCCAACTTCAAACGAAATGTAATACTAACGACAATATCTTTCATTTAACTCTGGTAAACACTATTCGTATTGCAGCTTTAAAATTCGTAATTTCGCCCCAGTTCCTAATATTTTCAGCACTTCCCCCAACCTTCCAGTTCAGAAACCATGGAAAAAATAAAGAAATCAACAATAGAAAACAGTAAGCCTTCTCACTCTCTATCCTTTTATCCCCCCTCTCTCCCTGTCCTCCTCCACTACCACCCTTTAACCAAAAGGGACATATACTGAAAAATTGAGGGACCGCAAGACAAAGGACTTAAATCTGTTGATACAAGAAACAGAAGCCTAGAAAATTGCAAAAAATAAAGTAGTTTAATTTAAAAAATTAGACATACTTAATAAATGATTCAGAGCTGTACTTATTCCTATATAAAAGCGCAAACTAAATCAAAAAAATCGATACTGCTCTACCCATCAAAAAGATTGGAACTTTCCTTAGAAGAAACAAATAAAATTTCAACACTATTGATAAAAAGAAGGATTGTTTTTGTTCCATCTATGAATCATAACTTTAAGTACAAAATACAAGTAACTCTTTCCTCCCGCTGTTTTATGAGATATTTGTTTCGTAAAAGCATGTAATCGAGTTAAACATGTTGTGCGCCATCAACAGTTACTTTCTCCTCCAGACCCTGCCTTTACAAACCCAACTGCCTCCTACTTTTCTCCTCGCCTTCTTGCTTTTCCATACCATCAATGCATGTCAAGAAAGTAGTGGTATTTCAAATAGTTCAAAGCATTTTATAACAACAACTCCCGTTGAAACGATCAGGAAGAATAAAAAAAATTACAGATAAGAAATATCAGAGAGTAACAAGTGATTTGACATGAAGTCGATAAGGAAATTTTGGTGATTTTGGTTGAACAGTTTGTAAAAAGTACAGAAAAATTACGATTTTTTCGATTTTTAGTCCTGTTCAATCGTAAATTTACTAAAATGTAGCACAAATCTAAACTGTAGACGTATTTATGCACACATTTTCAGCAGCCTCAACCAGATGTTTTCCCACCTAAATTTTTCCTCTTCCTTCTTGTCCCTTTTTTAAGCCAGATTGCCCTTCCTTATTCTGTTGAGCACATAGATATTTTCCTTCCTTCTACTAAACACCAGACTTTAAACCATATTTCTCAAAGAAGTAAACCGAATTTAACAAAAACTACCTAGAGAAATGCTTCAACAAAATAAGATCAAACCAAAACGTTCAATTAAGCATGTGCAAATAAAACTTTTTCAAAAATACTGCTTTTTTAAGGCTGGGAAATGCAAAAACTAGAGTTAATTCACGGATCGGTGATAATCGAATTAGCCAAAATGAGCTAAAAAAAAATTATAGTAAAACTGACAGTACCAACACTGTCGATACTGCTGCAACTGCTAACCATACGAAACAAATTAACGATTAATGTCATTGACTGAACGAAAGGTCTAAAAATTGTTGAATTAGAGTAAACTTTGGAAGAAACTCCTTAGTCGAAATATAAGGAAAGGGCCAGGAGAAAAAACCAAAGAAAGAGAAACATGGAGAGCACCACATCTGAAAATTAACACAATACTCCGAACAACCAGATCAAGGCTAGTGTGCAACAGGAAAGGAAACAAGATTGCTAGATCAGTTTCATCAATTTTTTTTGCCAGCCGCAAGTTTTTGTAAGCACTATATTTTATATTTTCCTGTTTTCGATAGCCAACTGCCAAGATAAATAACCATCTCAGCTGAATCACAGTAAGCTGAAAGAACAAGTCGAAAGCAAACAAAGCGGAAACCATCTTCAGCCATTACGAAGACGCAACACTAAAAAGATAGACACGGTTTATAACCTAACACCTTCACTATATGTTTCTTGTCCTACCCTTGTGCAAGGCATTTCCCATAACGATCAAAGTGACGAAAAAGAACCTTATAATTTTTTTTCCTTCCGCTATCAGTCATGAAAGTAGCGAAATGATGAGTCAACTAACCACTTAAAACTTTTTCACCTACAGTGACGTATTAATGTATTTAAAAAGCAAGAGAAAAAAGCCAAAGCAACAGAAATTTTAATAAACATCATCTATTTTGGCCCTCAAAAACTAAGTCACTCACATAAAAAGTAAATACACAGCAAAGAACAAGTATTGTAGCCAGCAAACCACTTAATTTCAAGAAAAACTTTTGTTCAATTGTAACAGCAATTGTCATTGCGAATTTTTTTCTTACTGAACAGCAAAAACGATATAAACCTATGAATACCATATCAATCCTGAACAACAAAATTATTGCTCTCTAAAACACAGTTTGTTTAGTGTTTTCTCCCGTGATGAAATAGCACCGCAAAAATTGGGAAGTTCTAAACGGATGAAAAAAACAATGGGTAATGCTACAAAATTATACACAGAAATAAAATTCAAGTCGAGATAAAAAGAGAAAAAAACAGTAATAAAAACAACACTTCTTCTTTATTAACTCTTTTTTTTCTTCCAATTTGTTGTTGGCCTATTCGTTTACCAAAGTGTAGTAGTGAATGAAGAGAGGAACATAGGAATGGGTGAATAAACGAATACACGAATCAATCGATGTGGCCGGTAAGCAGCAGCAATGGGATACCGACTTTCTTTCTTTTTTTTAGATAGGACAAGAGGTATGTGACACGTTCACACTTCACACTCACTGTATCTGTCGGCCCTCAGCAAAAAAAAAAAAGAAAAAAAACCAGTTTACAGCCAAATAAAAAAAAAGACAAGGAATAGGCGCTTGAAATGAAGGAAGAATATGCCAAATGAAAATATTTAATAAATATCCAAGCATGTTCAAAAAGAATGGCTGGAAGCAGAAGGTAAAAAAAGCAAAACAAAAATAACGCACGAAAATGCTAAAGATACTGACCAAAACAGAGAAGGGAAACAAGGTGCTACGGGACTGCTAAATTCGGTAGGC